AATATAAATTACACTACGCTTGCCCGTTGCCCGGATTTCGGAGTCGAATAAATTTTTGGCTGACCGAAAAAATTTTTTCGGCATAGACCAACTTAGAAAGATTCAAAACGCATATTAACGGAGATAGGTTTGGCTCAGGGGAATTTTAAAGCACATTTTCACATGGCTATCATAGCACTGGGCCGTATGCAAATCAATCCTTGCCCGTCCCGATTACTATAAATTACACTACGCTTGCCCGGATTTCGGAGTCAAATAAAGCTAGGTTTGTCACTTAGAAAATTTTTGGCTGATCGAAAAAATTTTTTCGTCATAGATCAACTTAGAAAGGTTCAAAACGCATATTAACGGAGATAGGTTTGGCTCAGTGGGATTTTAAAGCACATTTTCACATGGCTATCATACCACTGAGCCGTATGCAAATGATTCCTTGCCCGTCGTGATTACTATAGATTACACTACGCTTGGCCGGATTTCGGAGTCGAATAAAGCTAGGCTTGTCACTTAGAAAATTTTTGGCTGATCGAAAAAAATTTTTCGTCATAGACCGACTCAGAAAGGTTCAAAACGCATATTAACGGAGATAGGTTTGGCTCAGGGGAATTTTAAAGCACATTTTCACATGGTTATCATAGCACTGAGCCGTATGCAAATGATCCTTGCCCGTCTCGATTACTATAAATTACACTACGCTTGCCCGGATTTCGGAGTCAAATAAAGCTAAGCTTGTCACTTAGAAAATTTTTGGCTGATCGAAAAAATTTTTTCGTCATAGACCGACTCAGAAAGGTTCAAAACGCATATTAACGGAGATAGGTTTGGCTCAGGGGAATTTTAAAGCACATTTTCACATGAGCCGTATAGTATACCGCATTTCAGTATACTTTTTAGCCACGGCAGTCTGTGGCCATAAAGTATACCAGATTTCAGTATACTTTTTACCCACGGCGGTCTGTGGCCATAAAGTATACCAGATTTCAGTATACTTTTTAGCCACGGCGGTCTGTGGCTAAAAAGTATACCAGATTTCAGTATACTTTTTAGCCACGGCGGTCTGTGGCTAAAAAGTATACCAGATTTCAGTATACTTTTTAGCCACGGCAGTCTGTGGCTAAAAAGTATACCAGATTTCAGTATACTTTTTAGCCACGGCAGTCTGTGGCCTAAAAAGTATACCAGATTTCAGCATACTTTTTAGCCACGGCAGTCTGTGGCTAAAAAGTATACCAGATTTCAGTATACTTTTTAGCCACGGCAGTCTGTGGCCTAAAAGTATACCGGATTTCAGTATACTTTTTAGCCACGGCAGTCTGTGGCTAAAAAGTATACCAGATTTCAGTATACTTTTTAGCCACGGCAGTTTGTGGCCTAAAAAGTATACCAGATTTCAGCATACTTTTTAGCCACGGCAGTCTGTGGCTAAAAAGTATACCAGATTTCAGTATACTTTTTAGCCACGGCAGTCTGTGGCCTAAAAGTATACCGGATTTCAGTATACTTTTTAGCCACGGCGGTCTGTGGCCATAAAGTATACCATATTTCAGTATACTTTTTAGCCACGGCGGTCTGTGGCCATAAAGTATACCAGATTTCAGTATACTTTTTAGCCACGGCGGTCTGTGGCCATAAAGTATACCAGATTTCAGTATACTTTTTAGCCACGGCAGTCTGTGCCATAAGTATACCAGATTTCAGTATACTTTTTAGCCACGGCAGTCTGTGGCCATAAAGTATACCAGATTTCAGTATACTTTTTAGCCACGGCGGTCTGTGGCCATAATGGATACCAGATGAGATACCACAATAAGGTGTGCTCGTTACAGACATTAGCACGCACATATATGTACCAAAATACAGTATGCTCATGAGCACGACCAGTGTCACAGGATTTTGGTACCACGGCGTGTTGTGGCTATAAAGATACCAGATTTCAGTACACCTTATAGCCACGGCGGGTTGTGGCTATATTGGATACCACTCAACGATGGCTCTGGGTACCAGATTGTATACCTTATAGGAGGGTCTTAATGGGGGTCTTTGGGTGTCAGTTGTCAGCTAAAATTTAAGCCAGTTGTCAGTTGTCAGTGCGATATATTGCAAGCTGTCAGTAGTCAGTTACTTCAAAAAAGCTGACTCATCATTTTTTCATAATTTCTCAGTTGTCAGTCAAAAATTCAGGCAAATGTCATTAGTCAGTTAACCCCATTCAGACCCTCTTACAGCCACGGCAGACAGTTTGTCGCTCAAACGTGAAACTGCGTGTGAAGGGCCCACTGACGGGCCTTATTTAGTCACAAAGTTATCAATCATAAATTGTATAAACTGGTGCAAATATTGACTCAATGCAAATATTGACTTCCCACGCATACTGACTACAGCTTACATGTATGTGTGACGCAATCATATGGACGCAATGCAACTGGATCAGGAAGTCCTGAACCCGAGTGTCAGAAAAAAAACAACAACAGAATTATGTAAGTTTGATTCATGCGTTTGATGCATTGATGCTATCATTTTTAAAGCGTTTTTTAATGGGATAGGAAATATATTTCTGTTCTTTTACATGACAGGTTGTTCTGGATTTCTCTTGGTGTAGTGTTTTAGAAGTCCCTGCCGTTTTCAGTTCACGAAAATGCCGTTTTCAAGGGATTCCTATAGTCGTTTGGAGTCACCTATTAAATATGGCTGTGATGAAACGGACGCGCTCTGTGGTTTACAACAAACAAACCAAACCGACGGAGAAGATGACGATCTTGTTGGTTACTCTTTAGACTTTGCTGAACCTAAGCACAGTTTCGTTGGTCACGTCAAGCAAAGCTGTAGGAACGTAGGACGAAAGTTTATGAGTGGACTTCACTTTGTTTTGAAAGTTGCATTTGGGAAATGGCCGATTGCGCTCATTATCTTAATTTCCTATATCGGGTTAACCGTCGGCCTGATTGTTGTAGCTTTAACGGGGAGATATCGTGAGTTTCGTAAAGATATATCCCTTGATTCGTTTATGGTACCAGATATTAAGGTTTCAAGTGATTTCGCGGCTTTCAACGCAGCTAAAAAGCAGGGAAAGTCAAATTCTCCATATTCTTTTCAAATGTTTTTGAATATAGGTACATGCACTGGGAATAAAATAAACCCTCAGCCAAGAAAGATCCCTGGGCGATTGAAAAGAAGTGTTGAGGGTACAAACTTTCAAGGTAAACTTTCGTGGACTCTTGATCTCGTGTATGTTTCGAAGGGGGGCGATAATATTTTCACAAAGAAACGCTTACGAGAGATCCATGACATTGAAAACTCGCTTATGAAACACAAAAACTATGACAAACATTGCTATATTTCACCACAAATATTTATGAAGGATGAAGCATTAAAGAAATATGGCAATTGTACGCCTCCAAATTCAATGACAAATTACTTTTATTCGCGTGGAAAAATTTATGACGGCCAAAACGAAGAACTGTCAAGACCCATCAACGAGACACTCCAGTTTTTAAAAAGTAAAGAGTATTTCTTTTCGTATGTCTCGGATGATTTCAGCAAGAAAGATAGCAGTAATATTCTGAGAGCACAAATTCTCTTTGGGAGGCCAGTACAGGGGGTACCGTTTCAAACCTCCGCACAGAAAGAGGAATTTAAACGCTTTGTAACAACATATGTAGATGCTTTGGATGAGCTCAATAACAACAAGTATGTATAATTCTCATTAAATATAAATTAAGTTCATTCCCAGTGTTAATATTTTCGTTTAGGTTATTTGTCTTATTCGGTAACAACTTAATATCTTTGGTGTTTAGGGTGGTTTATTACTTCTATTGTGGCAACAATGCACTCACAATAGTGAGACTCTTTGTTATCTGATACAGTGTCTCAAATTTTATGTATTAATGTTGAAAGAATATTTACTGAGTTACTGAAACTTGATATATATTGCTGACAGCAATAAAAATATATTAAAGATAGCATAATCTGATCAATACATTGTATATAAAAAGTCGTTTGGGGATATTTTGAAAAAATTCCTTTTTCAACCAAGAATTCTTTAATTTGATAGTGCCAATTTTAAACTCTCCTAATTAATGCAAATATCTTTGTGAAATGACATATTGCACATTTGTTGTATAATGAGGCCCCCCTTACGGTAAATTCCAACTGGAAAGCTGCATTGAAACGGCAGAATGTAGAAAATAAAAATGATGGCAACATTTGACACAAATTCTGTCTAAATTGTAGAGGGTCTCCCAAGTCTGTGTTCCTGGTTTCCATTCGAAATTTTCCCTTTTATTTCTTTTTATTTATTTAACTTTGCCTTGACAAAAAATGTACACAAAACAAGTACAACAATTCATATACATGAGACATAACAAGAGGCGGGACACCACAACAGTTTACACCATTTACTGTGGGCCCTTTGTTCCCTTCTCCCCCACAAACCCCCAGTTTACATGCTTTCTTGTTTCATGCTATGTTTTGACTTTGTTCCTGTGTTCCCATTTAACTAAGATGCATTTAAGATTAATGGAAACAGAGGTAGTCTAATCAACTCGCAAATACTTCATACTTGACAAGTAACACATCCAGACATTCCAACTACTGGATGTAAAATTTAGGGAGACTGTTCAATGAATTGAAATCTAGTTCTTCTGAGAAAAAATGATAAAAATTAAGTCTTCTGAAATGGCATTTCCTGCATTTTGGGAGTATGTTGTTATAAGTGATCCTATAAATTGCCATAAAGTAACTTCATAGAAAGGTCAAGACAGACTATTATGGTGCTAAAAACAGTATATTTATGATTTTTTTACGATATTTCCTATTTCCTGAATATTCTGAAAAATGGGGAGAATTTCATAAAAATCGGGAGACCAGGAGATTGCATGAATTTTCGGGAGACTCTCGGTAAAATCGGGAGAGTTGGAATGTCTGCACATCATTTCAGTGCAAAACGAAAATATCAATTAAACTGCAAAAATACTCTATATTTGGAAACTATTAAGCTCAATTGGGAAGCAAAATAAGACTTCATTTGGTTAATACTTTTTTGGTCACAATATTTTCTACTAACAATTGAAATGTATTTTCTTGCAGCCAAGTCTCCATTCTCTATGGTGGTGGTGATTTATTTGATTATCTTGTCGACAATGCATTGTCATCTGACATTCGCCTTGCGGCCATCAGCCTTGGTTTAGTAATCCTGCTTTTAATCATCTTAACATTCTCGTGGTGGCTATCATTAATGGCAGTTATTACCATCATGTGTAGTGTGGCGAAGGCCTATTTCTTCTACCGTGTCGTCTTTGGTATCCAATACATGGGAATCTTGAATGGTGTATCTTTATTTGTAATAATTGGCATTGGCGTTGATGATATTTTTGTTTTTATCAATACTTTCCGACAAGCTGTTGATAACAAGGACCTGGGAAGTAGGATTTGTCACACAATTTACGTGGCTGGAAAGGCAACGTTTTTCACGTCGTTCACAACTGCTGCTGCTTTTGGTGCCAATGCGTTATCCCCTGTATGTTGTTCCAATCTTTATTTATGTCTTTATTCTGTCTGCACTGTCGCCCAAACAATACAAAAAGTGCGAGCTTGTGTTAGGTTGGGAAATCACACTACAGGGCAAACCAGGGGTTGAAATGCCCAATTTGGACCAAACTTTTTATCTGGTGATCAGATATTTGCCAAAGGTAGCCCTCGTGGTGATTTAGAAAAAATTCTAAAGCCTTAAAATATCTCAGTGATCAAGCATTTCATCCTACTTTTGCATATAATTTGGCAACATATTAAACTGCTTGTGTTTATGTTATTTATATACAAAGAGAACATTTCATAACACATTGATTTAGGGCGACCTGATATTAAATTTGGTGACCAGATCTTATTCACTTGTAGTGGCTTGGGTGACTAGAAAATTCTTAAAATTTTGATCCCTGGGGCAACCCCTGAGGCAACCCCTGAGGCAACCCCTGAGGCAACCCCTGGGGCAACCCCTGAGGCACTTAGTTGAAAGCACTCTTCACAACAAAAATGAAGTGAAATTATGATTGCGACAAATCTGCATTTTTCAAATATGTCTTGTAATTGAGGTTGTTGTGTTTGCTTCTCAGAATATTTAACAATTATTCGCCGAAGGCGAGGTGATTATTGGGGAATATTCACCGAGACGAAGTTGAGGTGAATATTCCCTGATAATTAGAGGACACATATTGATAACAGTAGATTACTGAAATGTTTATCCTCTGTAAAGATTTTGAAATACAAAATACACCGAGCCTGAGGCAAATAATTGTTTTAGTATTTTTACACAAGTTTTTTTGTGTTTTTAGGGACTGAATTTATTTTAATTTCGCTTATTTCTTTATCAGTAAACTCCCACAAAATGGCTAGCTGCCATTTTGTAAATTTCGGTTTTGTTATATTCACCTGTAGGTGAATATAACAGCTTAATACATCAAATTTGACCAGTCAACTTGTAGGATTTGTTATGTTCACTTGTGCAAAAATACTAAAATCCCATTATCATTTTTGTGTAGATTCCAGCCATTCATGATTTTGGTCTATTCATGTCTATCCTTGTCTCTAGTTGTTGGGTTAGTGTTCTCTTTATCATGCCTCCCAGCCTCACCCTGTGGCATGCAGGTATTGAAAAGTTGGAGTCAGCTATGTGTAATCGAGTATTGTCAGCCATTGGTTTTCGAAGGAGTGAAAGTTTGAGATTGCCCAGTGAGTATCCTTTGATATCCAACCACGTACCCAACCAGTATTCTAGCTCTAGCAGTGGCACAACAACTGCTCATGCTTTCAATTATTCAAACCTTTAGAAATGTATTGTTTTGAGCTTATCTAAGTGTATCTACTGTAAGTGTAAGTTTATTAGCATGGCAGGACCAGTGTCATGCTTTACCACTGCTACTGTAGCTAGTGTATATGTATGTTGCTGTATGTTTATAATATGTTTATAATATCAATATGTTTATAATATGTATGGTCAAAGGAGACATGAATATATAGGCATATCAGTTTGATGCATTGTATGTTTAATTTTGTTCTACTTATGTATATAGTGATCAATTTCATGTCATATATTTAATTATAGATGACATTCGAAGATTCCTCTCTGGAATTAGAAACAACGAATGTCATGAATCTGAGCATGAGGCGATACCATTGGTTAGTAATAATAACGATGATGTTGATGATGATGATGATGACGATGAACCATTACTGCTTCTTGATAATGAATCTACATCCAATCAAGATATCCAAGCTACAGATTCAATTGGGTTCCGACTTCAGAGTATTTTGTATCATTTCGTTGCTGAACCTGTTATCAAGGGTCGAGTTGTCATTTTTATGGTATACCTTGTTATCCTTATTGGCTCTGCATTCCTGGTGACTAAACTACAGGTATTTTATGTTTTCTCAAAAGTTTGGTTTTGGGGTATGTGTTATGTTTGTCCATAACCAAGATAGTTAAAACGTATTGAAGAGTCTAATACGAAGGTTTGTGGAGCCACAAGTCACATTGATCAAGTAGTGCTTGGATCGGGATGAAAATTGAACAAGAAATTCACAAAGCTATTTCTTGCCTTTCCAGGCTGAGTAAAATGAACTGAATGTATAATAAATGAATACTAATACATAGTAATACTGAATGTTTGTTTTATTTTGGGTATGTAAAAAAACTCAAATAATTTTGTATTTTCAGGTGTCAACAGAGCAACCGAAGTTCTTCAAAGCTGACAGTAACTTACAAAGATGGCTTGAACTTCCTGATGTCAGTTTGAAGATGTCTGGGGACATGTTAAAAGATCTAACAGACATACCAAAGCAACAGCTTCCTAAGATACCTTCTCGTACACCTCCAATTACAACACGTCCAAAACACACCCAACCACGAACAAAAACGAGAAAAGTTAGGACCCCTGTTCCGCAAAGGCCTACCATCAAACCACCAACAACAAGGTAACCATAAGCTGTTAGAAAAACACACGGTCAACTAGGGGTGCACCGGATTTGGAATTTTCAAATCTGGCCGGAACCGGATTTACCGGATTTGGACAAAAATTCCGGCCGGATTTGAGATAAAACTGGTAATGGGGACAATTGGGGATAAATTGGGATAATTCAGTATTCAAAATTGCGGTTTATGTTTTTTACTATTTTTAGTTAGTGTCAGTTTAGATTTTTGATTGTGTTTAAACCTTTTTTAAATATCTTTTTGTTAATAACTTAATATTTTATAGTAGCATAAGTGTTTTTTAAACTTTAAAGCTACCAAATTGATGGTTTATCCCATTCTTGGTGAATTTTTTAATGTGAAAACAGAAATTTAAATCCGGCCGGATTTTCTCTAAATCCGGCCGGATGCCGGAAAATTTGTTAAATCCGGCCGGAATTCCGGCCAGATTTGAAATCCGGTGCACCCCTACGGTCAACTGACATTTTCAAAAAACCTATGAAAAAACTCATTCTGAAATCATCTATAGAAATTCTACATATTTGAATTAAAACAAGACGACAGACTTTAAATCTTCCACTTTGTTGTCATGCCTCGTGGCTTGCGTTTTAGTTCAAGTACGTTCAAGGCTTGAAATGCTGTCATGGTTTGCGTTTGAACTACATTAAGAAAGATTAAAATAAAAATATATTGAGCTCAATCACTGTGACTGTGCACATATTAACATTCAGACAAGGGGGATAAGAATAAGTACATTACACCAACACAGCAGATTTCATGATTATTAGATTGCACTGATATCGAAGGAACTAGACTCTGTTCCGAAATATCGCATACTCGAACCGACCTGACCGCGTAGCGCAGTTGGAAGAGCATTGGGCTAGTATTCCAAAGGCGGTAGGGTCGAATCCCGCCGTGGCCAGGCATATTTTTCAAGCCTGCCCGGTGTGGATATACACTCAGAGTAACATCACAGAAACATCTTATTCACCTGAGTACATTACACCAACACAGCAGATTACAATGACTTCTGTTTAGTTTCCAAACTATCATATCTTGATAGACTATGGTCTGAGCCAAGGCTTATTGTGAAACCTTTCCACTGTTTACATTGCCATAAGGCTTGGCTTAGATCAACGCCTAGACAAAAGATGGCAGAGCATGGGCCCAGATTTTCTGGCCTAGGTTAAGAGTAAACAAACGTTGGTCTATTCCAAAGCAAGGCTCAGGCCAGTAGTTAATAGACTGCTTAAAACAAACGTATTCTATTATCTCACTGTTTAGATTCAAATCTACAGAACCAAAAACGCCCAAACTGCCGTCAACTCGCGATCCTACAGTGACGACAAAGAAGGCAGTGGTAACTAATGCGTTAACCACGCCAGAAGAAGAAACAACATTTCCATCTGTTGCGCCAACAGAATATATAGAACCTACTCACACCTCCAAAACTACAAACAAACCTAGATGGGTAACTACTTCTGCAAATAACAGTTCAACATCTAGTAAGTTATTTTAATTCATGGTTTTGTCTTGATAGCATAGTCAAAACCCTATTAGGCAAACATCTTCATTTGGAACCTTGCAAATGTGTAAGAGTTGTATGTTTGTGTGATAATATATGTAACGTGGGCTTCTGGTTGAGAGACTACAAGATCAAACTATACCTGGGGTTGCTTTTACGAAGACTGGACAGCGCTATTCATCAGATAGTGATTTTCCTAGCGTTGTAAAAATACTTGATAAGCTGTGAAACTATGGATCAGGTGATTGAGAATACCCGATGCTATCTGGCCTTCATACAACCAAGCTCTAAAGAGAATTTCGAGCTTTCAGACTCCTTTGTCTGCAAATCACATGATTAAAATGCTTTTACTCTTTGTGCAGGTTGTCCACATCATTGTATTAAAGGTAGATGCAACACCACGACACACAAATGTGACTGCCATCTCTCTTACACCGGCGAAACTTGTTCAAGTAAGATTTTTAAACATTGAAATAATTGTACGTGCATAATTTTTTTGTTGAAACTGATCTAAACGATATTCTTTTATTTGCATATATGCGCATGGCGAATTGTGAACAGTCGGATTCTAATCCCATTTTTCCAACCAAAACCTTTTAGGGGCACACCATTAGAAAATGAACAGGCGGGGTGGGGGGATTTTCAGTTTGCACGAATTTTTTTGCGGAATTTTAAAGATATTTTTCTTTACTTTCTCTTCGCAGGATTTTTTCTTTTTTCCTTTCCTAAAGAACTATTCGAATCATTAGTCGAGTGTTAGTAGAAGGAGAAGCAAAGCACTCTTCTCGCATGCGACTGAGGCTATGATCCGATAACTAAGTTGAAATTCTTCAGTCTTTGAAATTTTCTCTCTGCAGTATACTGTCCAGTGAAAACGATGACTGGAGAATGTTGTTATATACCGTTTAAACACGAAAGAAAATGGCGATATGGTTGTTTGATTGACACAGCCACAGGAAAACCTTGGTGTTCGTTAACACCATATAACAAGGATGGTGTCAAGGAAGAGTGTAACAAAACCGTTGCAAGTAAGCTGCCCTCGATATCTTAGTATCTTGAACGAGTGGAATGCTGTTCCCTTACACGTCCAGTAAGGATCGTACGTTTTTGTTACTACAGAAGGACTAAACTACATTTTAGTTACACTGATATCTGGGATTTAGTTTAGTTTAATTATACTGATATCTGGGATTTAGTTTAGTTTAATTATACTGATATCTGGGATTCGCATGGTGTAAGAAAGACTAATTGAACAAATGCCTGTTTCAGATCGTTGCGCAGTTCGTACTGAAACCCCAAACAAGACTTGCTGTAGCTTTCCATTTGTGTACGATATGACGGAGTATTATACCTGTATTAAGCCAGTACCTGGTCAGGAGGTAGCTGATCAGGACGCAAGTTATTGTGGTATTCAACCACTTGTCCACTCTCCTCAAGATCTCGTACGATGCATTTTCACCAGCGATACTAAACCTACCACACCTCCGCTGTGTCGAAAGAATGAATGTAAACCTGTCAAAGCACCACCGAATGAGGCAACAGCTCTCATATATGTCGTCTTTGGAGTGAAAGGAATCGACAAAACCTCTGTCGATTTACGACATGTTTTGAAAGAAACTCAGGTATTCAATTATTCAATCTTAGGATGCAGTGATTCAATCTTAGGATTCAGTGATTCAATCTTAGGATTCAGTGATTCAATCTTAGGATTCAGTGATTCAATCTTAGGATTCAGTGATTCAGTCTTAGGATTCAGCGATTCAGTCTTAGGATGCAGTGATTCAATATTAGGATTCAGTGATTCAATATTAGGATTCAGTGATTCAATCTTAGAATTCAGTGATTCAATCGTAGGATTCAGTGATTCAATCTTAGGATTCAGTGATTCAATCTTAGGATTCAGTGATTCAATCTTAGGATTCAGTGATTCAGTCTTAGGATTCAGTGATTCAATCTTAGGATTCAGTGATTCAATATTAGGATTCAGTGTTTCAGTCGTAGGATTCAATTATTCAACTTTAGGATTCAGTGATTCAGTCTTAGGATGCAGTGATTCAATATTAGGATTCAGTGATTTAATCTTAGGATTCAGTGATTCAATCGTAGGATTCAGTGATTCAATCTTAGGATTCAATTATTCAACTTTAGGATTCAGTGATTCAATATTAGGGATTCAATGATTGAATGTTAGGATTCGTGATTGAATGTTAGGGATTCAGTGATTTAATCTTAGGATTCAGTGATTCAAACTTAGGATTCAGTGATTCGATCGTAGGATTTAGTGATTCAATCTTAGAAATCAGTGATTTAATCTTAGGATTCAGTGATTCAATCTTAGGATTCAGTGATTCAATTGTAGGATTCAATCTTAAGCTTGTAGTGAATCAATTTGAGGTTTCAATTGTTTAAGATTCAATAATTCATTCTTATTCCACTGCGCCAGCAATATCATCTCTTAATCTTAGTTTAACTTTTATGTTCACCGCAGGGCAAGGTAGTTTATGATAAAGTCTTTTCAAAAGACGTCAGTTGTGAAACTGAACGTATGATCAATACTGCCTGTAGAATCTGTAAAACGTTTAGCGAGAATACGAAGCTTGTTAGACCGGGCGGTGCCGAGTGCTTTCCGGAGAGTGTGCGACGGGCGTTAGACAAGTTTCGCGATTGCCGTGATCTTCCGAAAGCGAAGTC